TTAGGCGCATAGGTTTAGGTAAATACGATCGCCCAGTGGAGCCAGTGGTCGACCTCCATAGATTACGTTGGTTGGGGCGTGTTACACATGTCACCAGATAGGTTGCCACGGCGAGCGATGTTCGCCGAGGCTGGTACTGGGTGGAAGAAAGTCAAGGGTGGTCAAGCTAAAACCTGGCATGAGGTTAGGAGAACCCTAACCAGGAGTCTGCGTCACATAGCTTCCCCGTTAGGCTCCCTGTATGGGGACCTCGGGATGATCGTAACCGATAGTTGGAGACACTGAGTGGTGATTTCTTCATTCCCTCTGTTTCCTTTGCTGGCAAAATTTATTGTATTTCGTTATCTGTTCGCATTTGATTTCTCAGCTGTTGTTCACTGTTTTGTCAACACAAATATTACTCAACGGAATTGAAATCGTAAAGCCGAAATGGGATTTATTTGTATGTTTGCATCTCACCAAACAAATCAATATAATTTTGAACAGGCAAGTCAGAAGACAAACACTGCTAGAGGAATTCCTTTCCTATACTTTCATCAGTCGTGTGCGTATAACATCAAGCAAGATAGACAAATAATTCGCTTCATTTGTCTATCTTGTTCGATGTTATACGTACGCGACCGATGAGAGTATGCGAAAGGAATTCCTCTCGCAGTGTTTGTCTTCTGACTTGCCTGTTGAAATTCATTACGGGATCCAAATGTTTCAAATCACTATTAACTGAATTTCTCTGTCCAATTAACACATACTTCACGTTCATCCCTCCGACTGCCAGCGTCTGCGGGTGATCATCAACATACTCCTATCGTACGAGTTCTTCGGTTTCTTGGCTAAACTGCTCGCCAAACATGGGCAAATTTGATTGGCCGCACCCGGATTGTGTGCAAGATACTGTTCCACAGATTGGAGGGTACGAAGCACTAAAATTCGCTGGAACCCTAACTGTTTACTCTTCGTTACCGGTTTGAACGGGATCAAAGTACTGTTAGAGAATTAGTGAAGCGTAATACATCCGGACCTGATAGATGTAAAGATTGAAACTTCAAAGGTTTTTGGTGTTATCCAGGAATTCTTGTGTTACCTTCTCCTGTTTATATGTATGTATGTATGTCTGTTCGTATGTTTATATCGTAAAATTGAAAGTAATGCATTCATAGGTTTTGTGTGGATGTGTGACGTCACCGAGCTGCCTTAGCAACGGTAGTAGTAGTTTTCTTAGGTCCACATAAAAGGAGCCCTTTTTGGCCCAAACTGAATGCTTGATAATGGGAATTTCTTTTAGGCATACACTTCTCTTGTTTTCATAGTATATTTACGCAACTTAACCGTTTATGAGTGTGAATGTATATATATTTTACACCAGCTTGTAACCAAGCATGATACCAACGCCACAACAATAATGACAATAACATGGGGCAGTTGGTTTGAAATACAGAGCTAAATGGAAAGAACAGTGGAAAAACAGCAGGTAACTAGGATAACAAGGTTTTTTGTGTTTCACCGTACACCTTTTGATATTTTTTTTACGGGGCACGGGATTTCGACAGACGGACAGCATTCGCACCACTGACTTCTATTCTGGGCCATATCTCTCAGCGGCACTAACCAACGACAATCCTCATCTTTTCGGCCCCAACCTAGAAGGCGGGCTG